GATGAAGGGGATTACAACCTCTCTCTCTCTCTCTCTCTCTCTCTCTCTCTCTCTCCCTCTCCCTTCTCTTTCTTTCCCTCCCTCTCTCCCTCCCTCCCTCCCTCCCTCCCCCCCTCTTGAGACAGGTCTTGATACATAGCTCAGGCTGGCCTCCAACTAACCGTGTAGACCAGGTTGGCCTTACACCTGCCTCTGTCTCCTGGGATTAAAGGTGTGAGTCACTGTACCTGGCTATGGAATTTTTTGAAGTGATACAATAATGCAGTGTTCAGAGTCATAGAACTTTGGAAATGTTCTAAGCATGTTATCTCTTTAAGTACAGATTCGCATTCTCAAGTCTCCACAAGAGGTAAAACCAGGTGAAAAACACTACAATATGGCGAAGAGTTACCCAAATGAAGAAAAGGACGCTTGGGATGTGAAGATGCTCCTAGAGGTAGGTCATGGGATCCTGAGTATGGGACTCTACATATGTCTTTGTGATTTCTGATGTATGAAAATGTCTGTGCTAGTGAAGGAACATAGTAGAAACCTTAACATCTTGGTGAATTTAATTAGGTAAAATGGATCTTCTCTACAAAATAACATGAATAGCCAATAGATTTCTTTTTTTTTTGCACGTTATTTTGTAACTCGGGTTTCTCTGTTCTAGGCTAGCAGTTATTAAATAAGTTGTGAACATGTATTGGGCAGTAGATAGGTTAACTAGGAGATCCTTAAGTTCTCTATAGAAAATTTTATTTTTATTCTGGTAATAAATTTGGAGATTGTTAGCATCCTATGGTATGGATTCTCACCATAGTACACTATCATGATTCCAGTGTTTGAATTTGTGTCTACTATGGCTTTGTTGTCAGTTGACTTACTATGCTGGTAAGTATGCTAATTTCCTGTTGCTCCTGTAGCAAATTACTACAGTGTAGCAGCTTAGAGCATTTTGTTTATCTGTTTTTAGTCTCCTCATTTCCATTGGTTAGTTCATGGTTAATTCCTTTACTTGTCTGCTGTAGTTTATCTGGAGTTCTCAAATATGCTCTCATAAACCCAAAATTGGCTTTCAAATTTGAATGGAATTTAAGGGCTGTTATCATTTGTTTTATCCAGATTGAGAACCATTACGTGCTGTGTCTGTGTCATACTGATGTATCTCATTAGATCTACCAACTGCCTTGAGAGGGAGCTGAGATAGCACATCAGTGCTTTCTCTCAGTTTGGATACTAGAAATCAAATATTGGCAGGATTGGTTTCTTCTTAAGCCTCTCTTGGGCATGCTGATGTCTTCTAGTGTCCTCATATGACCTTTCCTTGTGTCCTAATCTCATAAGGAAACATGTGAACCTGGGACTGTAGTTTAGTGGTAGGATGCATGCCTTGCGTTTACAAAGCCCTGGGTTCAATCCCCAAAACTACAAATAACTCCCACCCACCACTAAAAAAAATAGTTTTCATAAGGAAATAAGTCATATTGAATTAGGGCCCACACATACGACCTAATTTTTACCTTAATCACTTCTATAAAGGTTCTGTCTCCAAATACAGTTTTGTTTGTTGTTACTAAGGGTTAGATCATCAACATATGAAGTTTTTTTTTTTTTTTTTTTGTGCCCACAGTTTAGCCCATTCACTAAGGTTGAATGTCTTGTCCTTGGACAGTTGTATATTTAACTATGCAGAACTTGTACTTGAGCAGCCCGATCTCTTGACTTCTGGAACAGCCACACCACCACACCTCTGCTTTCTCTGGGCCCATGGGTGCTTCTTCCATTTCCTCAGCCTCCCAGAAGAGTCCTGGTGTATCATCCTGTTGCCATGGAATTGTCAAAATCTCAGACAGCCACCCTTCAGTCTGTATGCAGGATCTCTGACCTTTTGTTTTTAAACTGTTATAGTGGAAAATATAAGCCCCTTTGAATTAAGGGAAAGGAAAAAATCCACAGTGTTCTTTAAATTTTTTATTTTGGTAACAAAAATATATGTGCTTTCCTATAAATTTATATTTGTAACACCTTTCCCTTGTATTATAAAACTTTTAAAATTCAAACAAGTTTTTCCAGACCAAATAATTAAAAACAAAATGATCCCTGTAAAATCAGTAGAACTTAAAAAAATTAATTAGCTTATTTTATTTATTTATTTATTTATTTATTTATTT